GGGTTCGAATCCCATCCTCGTCGAAATGTATTTTTCTTTTATATAATAGATTATATAATGTGTCCCATTTACTTATATGTCCATAGTCTTTTACTAAACATTATCTCACTTGATTTGTTCATTCAGGAGGTAAATAAATGCTGTATATATGAGCAATGATTTACAGTATCAGTGTAGTCTTTGTTTTTTTTATTCATCTTCACTATGAAATTTTATTTGAAGCAGAAATAAATGAATAGTGGGGCATTGCAAAACAATTGTATATCCTTTTACATGTTTTTTTTTTGTGTAGACAAAACAAAGGCTGTGGTTGAAAGGAAATACCTATTGGACCTCAGTATTCATACACCAGTGCAGACAGATGAATCTGAGAGGAAGACATGGAAATCAGTCAAGGCCAATTTGATTTAACTGCATTATTTGTAAGCCACAGGTCGGAATGGTACACTTTTGCAATAACAATATGAAATCTACCACATAAATACATGGAATACTGCTTGAAAGGGTTTAACTTCACGACCAAAGTTACATTATGGATATTGAATAAGGGGCTTTGTGCCACACAGTGACAAGGATGTAAGACACCAGACAAAAAAGCACAATTGTCACATTCTTTAATTCATGACCATCAACAAAAACACTTGTGTCTTTACAACTACATAAACAGTGCACACATCAGGTCCTAGGCGGCATTTCCTCAGTTTAGACTGTGCTAAAAGATTAATTCAGCCACTTCACGTTGAAGCATGTACAAGTTTTATTGTGTTTTCAATGACAGGGCTTTATTCTTAAGATGTGGTGGTAGCACTGACTTCTTGTCACATCACAGCATGCACTTTAGGAACCAATGATCACAGACCGACCTCACATCAGCATAATGAGTACAAACCAGCTGTGCGTGGCTTACATGTGAACACAATTTTACAATTCGTGAATAAAATGTTCCACAGAGTGGACGGGGGGGGGGGGACTTGAACAAAGCTAATTCATTTTGGTCTTTAGTGCCATGTTTACAGTATAATCTCTTGTTCATGCTCATAACACACGTTGTCAAAATGCCTTCCAGGACCTGAGCTGGGTGACTCTTTGCAAAGCTCAACCTACTTTAGGACCTTATGAAATCAGCTTTTATTTTTCCTAATTTTTTAAGTTGTTAGTCCAAAATCTGAAGTTTACAAAATGCAAAGGTTTATAGACGCATTGTGATGTTTTTATTTAATAACCGCGTATACTTCTATCTAAAAAGGTATTTGAAAATATTTTTAAACTTTTAACCCAGCGCCTCTGCAATTATATGTTACATGAGAAAAATAACAATTTCTGTAATCTGAGACAGAATAATATTACTTGCTCATGTGTAAATAATACTAAGACTAAAACAAGTACTTGAATTGTTTAATTTATGCCACAGTATTTCAGAAATAAAAAAAAAGTCAGATTCACTGAAAGGCAAATGCAAGACGAACACCCTTAATTTTTACATGCACTAGCATTCACATACATAAGCAAAGAACTATGTGTACTGGTTCAATATCAAGTGCATTATGATTTTGCAGAAATGTCGTCAAAACCAAAGTTATCCTGCGAAAAGTTACATTTTTATTACCTAGATTTTGTGACTCCAACTGTGTTTTCAGTGCTGCAGAAATCATAAGGCCCCTACTGTCGCCCTCTCTTAATTCAAACTATGACACTAGAACGCCAGCTCCGCTTTTAGACCCGCCTCCTTCGCTGTCCCTGGAAGACGCCGCTGACTGGCCTTGGCCTTCTGCTTCACCCTCTCCCACCAACCGGATGTTATAGCGTTCCCTGTACTCTGTGAGCTCCCGTCCTTTCGACTGCATCTGTGTGTTGATGGACTCGATTATCTTGGAGATCTGTGGGGGGAAAGTGAAGCGGGTGAGACCTTTTATACTAGATTTTACACTTGTGGCTGAAGTTGTCTTCTGACTTCTCTCTAATTATGTTAAATAAATATATTTAGATAAAAGCCTAAAAGCTTAACAGTACAATTCTAACAATTACACACTACGACACATTATATATTTGTTGTTCTTTTTCGCATCCATCACCTGTTCTTTGTTGGTTTCCAAGGCGGGTAGAACTTCTTTTACCGTCCGCTCCACCAACACTCCTCCTACTAGACGAAAGCATTTTCTCGAAGCGTCCACATCCTTCAGGGTCTCAATTACTAAACTGGACGGGGGGAAAAAACATGTTAAAAATTAATACATCAAGAGATCCAGTCAGCTGGTCAGTTTTCTGCCAACTGAACTGAAACATGTTACATTTGTGACAAATAACATATTCTTACTGTTTGGAGTTTATAAGATATCAAAACTAATTCAGACTTGTGTAAATGTCGCAGTATCAGGTGTATGGTGACTAGGACAGCAGGTAAAATGTCTTTTTTTGATCAAATATGAAATGAGTGTATTAAAAAAGGCAGAGGTGGAACTTCTGCTACCAACTTGTGCTCGTTGATCTCCATCTCCAACTCTGCAGCTTTGGAAGCCATACTGCGCTGCTCCTGACGCATCCTCTGAAATGTTGCCACCACCTGTCACACAAAAACACACAAAATCTCAGTCGGCAACAATACAGACACTAAGACTTGTCTCATGTATGGTAAACTTAATAAGTACCTTAAACAAGTGAATTATTTCTGAAGTTAAATTCATGTGATTGTTAGAAACAGAAATTACTGATTAAATAACCCTAGTAAGCTGTGTTATAATTTAAAGTATAATAGAGATAAATCAGTAAATCTACAACCTGATTTCTGATAATGTATGGGCTAACAGATATTAGTTGCAGCTAGAAATGTAAAGATATATCACGATACAATTGTGTGAAGATTCAAATCGGTGAGATGAAAAATTAACCGTGGTATCAAGGCCCGAAGACATCACTTTCACTTTCACAAAGAAAAGGAGATTTGCATTGTATTTACCCTACCTCAGCAATAAAAATGTATTTTATACATTTATACAGAAAATATAAGAGAAATATATTTTATATATTATGTAGATTTCTGTCTGAGAAATCAAGGAATCTTTTTAAGGCATAATTTGTTGTAAATTCATTGTGAATTGTATCAAATTGTGACTTTAGTGTATAATTGCAGCCATACTTAACCATCAGCTTTAGTTGCAAACTATGATTTTGAACTGACTGTTAATTTCCAGGGATAATAAACACCGTTTGAGACGAAGTACGTATACACAAAATACTATTCTGAGGTACTTTTACATTACTGATGCACTGTTTTAGATTAGTATACTCAATAATACCTAATGTAGTGAAAATTAGTAAGTCACTTAAATGTTTATGCATCAGTAATAATGATTTCATAGTATAATATCAGACTCTGAGGTCCCATTCTGCTTAAGTAAATGTAAGATTATAGTTTGCTCAGACAAAACAACCTATCCTAATGTGTCAATGTGGGCTGTAAGAAACTGCGTTTCTCTGTACTACTATTTTACAGACTAAAAATGACTTTTAATGAGCAGTACAAACCGGTAGACGAATTAAAATGAAAATAAAAGTTAGTTTCAGCCCTACTTTCTGTATATTTTGCTTGTAATACTCAGATACTTTAACTAGACTGTATCACTATTACATAAAGGCACTGCCACTCTTCCTGTAGAAACCTTAAACCCTTTGAATCCTTTGTACCTCGACGTTAGTAAAAATAGGACTGGGTGGCCTTCAAAGCACCTTAAACTCCTACTCTAACTGTCTATTAAAGCCCAACCCAGTGTCAGACTCTGTATGAACACTACTAACACACACAGCGTCTCTCTGTTGACTCGTTTTGTGATGAAGAAGCAGAAACGATAGCCCGACGGTGGCTACGGGGGGGGAGCTATCGTTAGCACCAGCCAGCTGGGAGTCACATTATCGGCTGCAGCTTTACCGGACGCGACCGAGCAGCATCGATACTGAGTGCAGCGACTCAAGCGAGCCGAGCTGCAGGTGGTTGTACCTGTTCGGCCGACGGACCGGACGGTTTTCCTCCGGTGTTGCTGGGTTTGCTCCCCGTGTTGCTGCTGTTTGCTGCCATCTTGGGAGGGTGTAGCTGAGAAGGACCCCAGGCAGCATGTGTGGAGTTTGTTCCGCGGACGTGCCTGTGTGGAAATGCAGCCCAGTTTTGGAAGGGTGTGCTTTTTCCTCGACTTTAAAGCGTGAAAACAGGCAGGATAGTACAGTTGTTTATTTTAAAAGATAGATGAACAAGTAGTGTAAAACCTCCTGGAACTGGTCTATAATATTTTTATACATATACATACATTAAACTAAAATTAAAAACCCTGACCTTAAGAACAGAATCAAAAATAAGATAAAAGATAAGATATAAAGTATTATGTAGATAAATACTAAAAGTAACAGTAATAAAATTAAAGTAAGGCTCAGTAGCACAATTGCAAACAGTAAACAGTGCAAGTGGAAATAAACAGTGCAAAAAAATCATATTTAACTTCTAAAATATGCAGTTTGGCTTTTACCATTTTTTGTCAATTTAAAAAAAAAATGTTATTCAATACATTGAAAATAAAAAATAAAATAAAATGCCAAGTACATCCCAACCATTCAGCAAAGCCTTGAAGACAGACCCTTGATGTATTGTTGATAATCACCTGAACTACTGAACCATTTGCTTTAATCCTATCATTTTATGTGAATTTTTCTGTGTTACTGTACATGTATATATTTTACAAAAAAAGTAAATCTCTCTCAACTCTTTACACTAGGTGTTACCAATACATGTTGCAGGTAAAAGCAAATACTCTCCAGCAGGTGGAGATGGTGTGCCTTAATGCTGGTTTTCTGTCCTCTGATGAAGAACAAAAGAAGACAGAAGCTCGTTTGATCCTTCCTGCTGTGCACTGAACTACACTTAATGTGCCACTAACATGGACTGACACTCTGTCTCGGTCACTTGGGCCAATGTTCACGGTCAGGTGCATTTTGGTAACATCTGCAAAGAGTTTGGCCTCTCTCCCACCTTGGAGACAGCGGATCAAGCTACAAAACAGGTATGTTTGTTATTCTAACAAGGGAATATACTGTTTTGTGTATGTCCAACAGCTAGACCTTAAACAGGGCACCTATGATAAAGACTAGATCTGTAGTGTGCTGTGTTATTGATTTGGATTGTAAACACATACATGAATAAGATGGAAATAAAAGCATTTGGACCTGAAGTGATATTGGTCCATTGAATGTAATATATGCAAATACACAGAGTTTTTATTTCAGATATTGCATTTAAATGTCTCCATATTAAACTAAGATCACTAAAGGTGCAAAGCTGTACATTATTATGCAATAAATATATAACAGAATAACAAGTGCGGTTAATGATTAACCATGGCTGACCTGATGTCTCTGCCTGGCATGCAGCTTCTGTTCCCTGGATACTATAACAATCTCTTCTTTCGTGCAGGATGTCGACTTTACCTCGCCCAGTGGCTGCACTGTGTCAGGTGACCGCCACCCCGGACAAAGAGGCCAACTTCTCTGCCTGCAAAAAGCTGGTGGAGGAAGCCAAGGAGCGAGGGGCCAGCATGGTCTTCCTGCCTGAGGGCTTCGACTACATCGGATCCAGTCGAGAGGAGACGCTGTTGCTGTCTGAGAGCCTGACAGGAGACACAATCTCACAATACACTCAGCTGGCCAGGTGGATAAACAGTTATTATTTCGCAAACATTGACTTATGTACCACTTGTTGGCTTTGTTTTAGGTGTTTTATCTATTTTACTTTTGGCAGAAAAGCTTGTTTGGTTCACTGCTGGAAGATATTTATCAGTTGATATAAGATAAACTGCTCTTACAACATTCAAAAGGCACAAACCATGGCTCTGTCCGAGCAAAACAATGTTTGTACATATACAAACAAATATACAGAGCCAGCATTGTTTTGCCTCCTGCTTCTTTACATTTTCTTGAGGCAAAACATACTGTTGGCTTCTCATTAACAAATAAAGTAAAGAGCCATGGAACCAGTCTAGGTTCAGTAAGTTTATTCTAACATAGTGTAATGTAATATGTATTTGGTAGAAAAGCATACTGGTTGGTAAAATGAATCTCTATTGTTTGATGTGTCATGTGAGGAAGATGTGAATAATCCGCACTGGTTTAGTATTCCTTCGGGTATTTTAACCTTTCCTTCTTCCAGGAAGTTGGAAGTGTGGCTGTCTCTTGGAGGATTTCACGAACGAGGACATGACTGGGAGTCTGATAGACGAATCTACAACAGTCACATCATAATTAATGATAAAGGTACTGCCCGTTGAACTGCCTCTCTTTACATGCCCTCGCACAAATACACACTCACACTGACACATTGTCATTAAACCCGCAGGTGACATCATTTCAGTCTACAGGAAGTCCCATTTATTTGATGTGGAACTGCCAGAAAAAGGTGTGTCCCTTAAAGAAAGTGCCTTCACCATCCCTGGACCCTCCCTCGTGTCTCCGGTCCAAACTCCCATCGGCAAGGTGTCATTTTATGTGATAATAATCATCACCAAGTTGACCTGTAAATGCACATGAATTCTCCATATTATGTGCTTTATTTGAAGAATCTATTTTTCAGCTATAAAACTTTAACTCAAAACAATAAATATCCTTAAAGCAGACCAGCAAACAGTTGAGTTATTCCAATTTTTGTCTTGACTGGACCATTTAAAAGAAAACCAACTAACATTACATGTACTGTATTGATTGAACTGTTGGATTTGGACTGAGTATGTATGTATTACATATTTACTCTCATTTGAAAGCCATAAGTTAATTTATAATAGTTCAGTCTGTGTAGAGTAATGCGTTACTGATTACACTACTTTTGCATTACATTCACAAAAATAACTGCAGAAGTACAACTAGACATAGTAAACTGGGAGAGGTTTATTGCAGTTCATTACATAGCCAGTGGTGGGCGATATTGTATAGCCTAATTAAGGCTCTCCTCCAGAGTGCAGATCTGGGCCATTGATGCATTCACATGCAGACTGAAAGTATACCCATTTTGAAAATGTAGAGTCTGCAGCCATCACAGTCATCGAGTTTTGGCAACAGGAAATTCTTTGTATATTTTTCTGGTGGCGCAAGAGCAGAAGTGAAGTTGTGTGCGTGAATGAATTCTTAGAAAAAACGTGACATAGAAAATGTCATAATATTACTTACATCGAGTTATATTGCGTTGTTGCTGCTAAAAGAAACAAATTAGTGTACAGTAATATATTACTATTACCAGTAACACTAACGTTACCCCCAGTGCTGCTCCAAAGTTTTGGCTTTAAGATGCAGTAGGAGATTTAAAAAAATTGAAGAAACAAAAAGGCAAATGTTAAGGCATGTTTTGGATCCCAACATTTAACATTAACATCTGTTTGTGTTTTGACCTTTGTTATATTGCTTTGACAGGTTGGCCTGGGCATCTGCTATGATCTGAGATTCCCTGAGCTGTCACTGGCTCTGCAAAGGCACGGGGCCGAGATTCTGACATACCCATCGGCCTTCACCGTAGCAACAGGATCTGCTCACTGGGAGGTGGGATGAGTCATCATAAGAAAACAGATTGATAACTGAGGCAGGCTTAAATATAAACCCAAGCAAACATAAACCTCATGTATTTATTCCCAGGTTTTACTTCGAGCAAGAGCAATCGAGACCCAGTGTTTCGTCCTGGCGGCAGCGCAGGTCGGGCGGCACCACGAGAAGCGTTCGTCATACGGCCATTCTCTGGCGGTGGACCCATGGGGTGAGGTGCTGGGTGACTGCGGAGAGGAGAAACCGGGCATGGTGCTGGTGGAGATCGACCTGGAGAAAGTCCGCAGCACCAGGAGGAACATGCCGGTCCAACAGCACCGCAGAGACACTGGTTTCTATCACAGTCTGGAGAAGACTTGACAACAAGACAAGTTCAGAGTCTGTGTCACTGAAAGGCTGAACATTGGCAACGAACTAAACAGGATTTTATCTTTCATTAATATCTTACAAGAGACAAGCTAATGAGGTATTGAATTTATGAAGGCGGATTTAGGTCAAGTTCATATTTCAAAATCATAACAGGTTTTCTCTAGTTTAGGTTTCTGTTATGCTGCATCAAAAACACATCAAATGATTCTGATTAATGAGAGATCAAAAGAAAAATAAGCCTGTTTTAATCAGAAACAGCATGTAACAGTGGAAACACAGTAGGAGGAAAAAGGCATACATTCTTGTCAAATGAAGCTTTTAATTAATATAACCACAGGGAAGTGTAAACATGGACTAGTTGATGATGATGATGATGCTCTTGGTGAGATAAAAGTAGTGTCAACTGTAGATTATTGGAGTTTCTCATGGTGGCTGAGATGGAAATTAATCTCTGTTTTGATGCTTTCCTCAGAGTTTCTTTTAATCACTGCAATAGATAATCTAATTTCCAGTCAGTAAAGCTTACTCACAGCTATATGTGTATCCCGATCGAGACCAATTGAGTCTGTAAATGTCGTACTGGGTCAATAGATGGTACTGCTGGGGTAGTAACAATATAAGAAACAGGAGGGAATGGCAAAAGCTTACAGTAAAACATTCCTGTATTAAATTCATGTGTACACATTCACCTGTAATTGTCCTGTGATTAAATTAAAGACTGTTGCACTAAAAGATTATAAACTCAAACATCTGAAAAACATCTCTTTCACTCGGTTTATTTGTCCTTCCATTTCCAGTACAAATTAAAATATGATTTTTTTTTTTAAATATAAATAAACGCTGACAATATTACATTGAAAAAAATGATTAAATATAAATTATGAACATACCCCACATAGAATCAGTATCAGGTTTATTGCCAAGTACATTTTCACATACAAGGAATTTGTTTTGGTGTCTTGATGCATAACAATAAACAATAAATAGAAAAATGTACAATAAAGAATATGAAAGATAAGTGTGTTTTGAAAAAGGAGCAGTGAAAGAGAAGGTTTCAGTTTGAGGTTGATCCATGTTGCTTTTTGTATTGAACAGCTGAAAACTAACTGAGCGTCAAGGTTTGTTTTATCTTCATAACTCACATTGTGGGTTAATATCATATTCATGCCCGTAATTAATTAGACAAACATTGTAAGAACATATTTTTCCATTCAAGTGTCTTTCATAGATTACACCCAAATGTGATTGTTGAACTTTTTTTGTGCATGTTGAAACAACCACACACTGTTGTAAACTCTGTGCTTAAGGTGCATTATCAAGCTTTTTCCAGAGCTTTCAACCGCAACCAACAGTCCCAAGACCCCAAATATTCAAGTATAACATTTCTGCATTCAAACTGTAAAAGTTCAAAAGTATAACCATCAAAACATACTTCAAGTACCAAAAGTAAAAGTACTCATTACACAGAATGAGCCTTTTCAGAATCATATTACTGATTATATATTATTGATGCATTAATATGTATATTACTTTAATATTGCAGCTAGTGAAGGTGGAGCTAATGAATTTATACCCTGCTGGGTAGCTGAACTTATAATAATACATTATAATTTATTAGTTGATTTTTATTTTGTGTTGATCTAAATCTAGAAGTACAGTATTTCCTCCAAATTGTCCAAACTGTAGTGGAAGTATTAAGTAGCATAAAGTACCTGAAAATTGTACTATGGTAAGTTCAGTACTTGAGTAAATATACTTAGTTACTTTCCAAGACCCAAAATATT